GGTGAGCATTTTAGAAGTAAAAAAAAAAAACACTTTGTGAAGAATTTGCTGTTTAAATGAGAAGAAAAAAAAAAGATTATTTTATACATGGCCTGCTGATTTTTTGGTACAGTGTTTTCTAGCTAAATTATTTTGTCATGCACATATAAACATTTATTATGCACTACTTTTCTAAATATTTCTTTTTTTTTTCTTCCTTTTTTTGTCTTTTTTTTCCAAACAGTCATTTTAGGCACATTTTTCACAAATATGGGGAAACTCCTTTTTGCAATACCTCAATTTTTCACATTGTGAAAGGTAGCTTTTGTACTTTTGTTACTGAGAGATCTGCGTATACGGAGATGTTTCGTTTTACGAAAAAAAAAGGACAAAAAAAGTTGACTGCTTTCAATATATATTATTATTTTCAATTATGCTTTTTATACATTTCCGTGCTGAGGAGTCTTTACAACTTTACGAGTGCGCAGTTGTGTTGATGCGACTTCAGATCTGCAGAGGATAGACCAAAGCGGAACACTCTCGGTCTTTGTTTTTTTTTTTTTTTTTGGTTTTGTTTTGGTCGTACACTAGTTGTCGATTTGGTCAATAAAAGCATGGCAGGAAGAGAAAAAGGACAAAAAAAAAAGTTGTAATTTGGATTCGATGTAAATGTCTCCGACCTTGGCTGTGTTAGTTTGGGGGGAAATGGTAACTTCTGTCTTGGTTTCCTCTCCATAGATGGAGCGTAACATAAAGAGGAGAATGCAAAATCTGGTTCATGCTTCATGCTGAATCTCGTACCACAAGAATGGATGTTTGGTGTTTTAGATATTTTAATATTTGAAAAAAAAATCTATATACATATTCATATATAAATATATATATATATTCTTGAACTTGCCAACTAGCACCTATTGTAATCCTTAGCATGCATGACGAAAAAAAAAAAAAGACAAATACATGAATTAGATATTACAATTAACTGTTGTGGTGTGCACCAAATGTTTCTCAACTTATTACGTTAAGGACACCTCAGCTCACCCCCTCCCCTCGTGTCGATTCCCTCCGTTTCCCCTTATCCGCAGACCTCTGCAGGGATGCACACGACAGAGAGAGAAATATCTTTAATCCGATGCGGCAGTGCAGGACTTTGAGCATCTGTGTGGAAAAAAAAAAAACGAAACAAACAAAAACGATAAAAAAAAAAAAACGTAAACGAAAAGAAACACTGTTTTTGAAAAGACTTGAGAACTCATCCCCGCCGTGCGTCGCGGTGAGCTAACATAGACCTATCTGGAGGAAAGGGGAGCTTAAAGACTTGAATGTGGTAAATTGTTGCAAGTTAACTTCAAGTTGTTATGTGCAATACTTCTTTTAAACCTTTTTCCAGAGAAAGACTCTTTGCAATGTAATTCTTTAATGCCATTTTTGATTGCAGACATTTAATTAAAGAAGATGTTAATATGTTTTTCACAGTCATTTTCTACTGTTATTGTAATCCTTTTCATGCTGGTGTTTGTAAAAAAGAAAAAGAAATCAAACTATTTGTACTAATATAAATAATTGAAGTTATTTTTAAAACATTTAAAAGGTTTTTGTGCTCATTTTGCTTATTTTCTGGTTTATTTTAAGCTACTGTGATTGATTGCATTGTAATTATTAGGTCAATGTTTATTGGTATATTTTTAATTGGAATGTATAATTGATTTTTATAATTTTGATCAGATTTTTGTTATATTTTTGAGGTGAAGCTTTTAATATGTTAAAGTGTCTAGTTTTTACTAATTGCTATATTGTGCTCCACAATATATGGTTCACATTTTCTGAAGGAAAATAAATATTTAAATATTTGTCTGTTAATGATGTTACTTAATGGCAAGATTTCAATAGTTTTTAACTGTGTATGGGAAGGTTGTTGTATTTATTAATAGCATTTTTTTACTTAAGATATCACCTTAATTTTTATTGTCATTTCACTTTATAAGTTCCTATTTTTGTATTTTCCTTTCTAATTAAGTTATGTAATACAAATATGTCCATATTTCTAGCAGTTGGTCTGTAGAAGTGCTAGTGAAACGAAAAAGAAAAATCTGTTATTTAATTGTTTGCAGCCAACTATTTATAACAGTATGCATAATTTTTAAATATTTGTAATGTGAAATGTTGAATGAAATAAATCTTAACTGTGATGAACGTTTGTGTTGTGGTCTGATTATTTATGCTACGTTTTAGGAGTTTAGATTCTGCCTTTTTACTGTAACCAAGTAGTGTTTGTCTCGTTAAGATTTAATTTAGGAAACAGTAATGGTTTCATTTATTTTTACATATTTATTAATATTTAAACAACAAAAATCAAGTGTAAAAGCCAGTAATGCCTCTCCATACTGTTATCTCCTAAGATAGAAAGCTGTATCTGGGTTTGGGGAAAGGGGTGGGAGTGGAGGGTCCTGGTTGGTTACCAGGGTTTTCCAATTTTGTGGGGCCTAAAGAGCTCTGCCGTTCCCTAAGGGGAGATTGACATGAAGAAAAGAGAATCCAGAAAAGTAAACACAACCATTTCTCCAACATTAAGCCTACGCCTGAGGCCATCTGTGGAGACACAGTCCCTCCAGTTCTTCATAGAAGTAGCAAATACTCATTCTGTTCACATCTGCATCCCTTTGAGAGTTAAACATCTGCGTTAACATGGATCAAACAATTGGGATCCTGCAGCTAAACGATGATTATTTCTGTCAACAGACCTGCTGATTTACCAGAATTTCCCCATTCAATTTTTCTATTCTATTCCATCTCAAAGAAGCAAATTCATTTCTCCCACTAATGGGTTCTATGCAAAGCTCCACTACTTTCTGAACTTCAGCAGCTCCTTTGTTTCCAGTCTTTCATCACTGTACAAGCTGATTAATCCAGGTGTGTCTGGCTGGTTACTGAGGTCCTTTTCTTTCCAGCCCTGTTCTGACGTCTACCTGCTCTCTGCTAAGTAGAATTTTCTCGCATCTCTTCAACTGTTCTTTCCATCAGGGTTCCTATTTTCCCTCCTCTCTCATTCAATCTTCTTTTCATCAGTCTTCCTATCTTCTTCCCTTCTTCTATCAATCTTACACTATTCTAAAACTGAGCTATGTAATATAGTCAAAAACCTTCTAAAAACATTCAAATGTACAACATGAAAATGGGGCTGCTCAGTGCTGCCCTGCAGCAAGAAGGTTTCTGGTTCGATTCCCAGGGTTTTTCTGCAGATTGCATGTTCTCCCTGAGGACTTTATGATAGATATTCCAGTTTATATCATTCCCTTTCAGTTCTGGTTTTATCATAACATGCGTTCTCCTATTGGAAAGAAAAAAAAAAAGCCAGCTCCACTTTTTATGTTTCTGTCAGCCTCTCACAGATTGTTTTTTTTTCCATGATGGTACTTCATATATTTCTATCCATCTTCCCATTAATTCCGGCCAATGTTTTCCCGAATGAAGAAATGCATTCCCACAGCATGATGCAGCTTCAACCATGTTTCATCATAGGAGTGGTGTCATATATTTTAAAACCTACGTAAACTTATCTTAAGTTATATTGGCTGCTTCTCTTTCTTATCAATTGTTCCATTCCTGTCTGTTTGGTTGTATTTCTAATCATACTCTATGGGATGTAAAACTGTGATAATGTCCTTTATGCTTAACTTCACCCCTAATCTTTCAGCTGTGTTTCTTGGTTATTATGATGCTGTTTATTCAAGAAATCCTTTGAAGCCTGCGCGGGTCAGATTTATTTATTTATTTATCCTGGGGATACATTAGAAATAGAGAGAATATCACTTGAATGTATTTACTGTAGGGGTTTCAATGGTAAAATGCATGCCATACTTTTCAGAATTCAAGCTGTAATACAAAAAAAAGCTGAAAACTTTTCTACTATTTGACCCACTTTGTGTGGGTCTATCTCATATGATCCCATTAAAATAAAGCAAAGTGTGTGGAGGTTATATGTCAAAATCTGCAGGAAGTCCAAAGGGGGAATTAATAACTTAAAACAATCTAATCAACAGATGATCCGCTGTCACTCTTTTAATCAGAAAAATCTGCAATACTTTAAAACGATCGCCAGATGGCGACTTAGAACAAAAAATAGAGCTGTAATATAAATTGCGTTTGGGTGCTGTAGGGAAATAAATGTTTCACATTTATATAAAGGCTGTAATATTTGTATTTATTTATTTATTTGTAAAGCTTAGCTAGATTGAAAGGAACTGACTCTACAATGTTGTACATTTTTCCATTAAATATAAAACGGCTCCACTTTACCACAATAAAAGCTGCAATTTACGAGGCACCTAAAACGCTACACTTATTCAGCTCTAATATAGATTGCGTTTGGGTGCTGTAAGAAAAAAAATTGTTTCATATTTATAGGATACATATTTCTAAACATATTTACAATTGAAATTTATTTCAGCTAGCATTATGAACAACTTGAATCCCCATGTCAGAGATTTTAAATGTAAAAAAATAGATTTTAAAAGGCTATAATATTTGTATATAGGTTATTTGTAAAGGTTAGCTGGACTGTAATGAACTGGCTCTATAATATTGTACATTTTCCCATTAAATATAAAACGGTTCCACTTTACCACTATAAAAGCTGCAATTTCCGAGGCGCCTCAAATGCAACACTAATTCAGATCTAATATAGATTGCATTTGGGTGCTATAAGAGAAAAATGGTTTCACATTTATAGGATACATATTTCTAAACATATTTACTATTGAAATTTATTTCAGCTAGCATTGTTTAAATAATGAACAACTTGAATCCCCATGTCAGAGTTTTATAATGTGAAAATTAAAATTTAAAAGGCTATAATATTTGTATTTATGTTATTTTTAAAGGTTAGCTGGATTGTAATGAACTGGCTCTATAATATTGTACATTTTCCCATTAAATATAAAACGGTTCCACTTTACCGATTAAAAAAGCTGCAATTCACGAGGCGCCTTGAAATGCAACACTAATTCAGCTTCCACTTAAACCAAACAAACGAAATCGGGGGATTAAAGAGGCTAAACATCCCTCTAGCGGCCAGCAGCTCCAGCGGTTGGGTGTAGCTCTACAGGAAAGGAGAGGCTGTGCTCGGATTAGGGGGTTGGGCTGCTTTGCTTGACTGAAAACCTGCAGCCAGACGTCCAGCTTGTCATCGGCGGCGCAGCTTTGCTTTCCCCGCAGCTTCCAGCATCAGCATCAGCCTCCAGCATCACCTGCTCCCACTGCTCCATCCTCTCCCTGCCGCAGCGCAGAGCCAGCGGGCGGACCGGGACCAACAGCTGAAAGTAAGACGCTTTTAGAAGACTTTTCCAGGATATCCTTGAATTATATCCATGTTTTTTCAGCATAATTTAAAATTCAGAATCATTCAGCTTGTAAAAAAAAAAAAAGAAAAAAAGAAAAAAAAATCCAATCTATGACTTCTAAACTTATTTCTCTTTTTTATTTTTCCCGCAGAGCATGAGATGTACATTATTTCTGTTTCTAATTGGTTTCTGTTTCCAGGAGCAGATCTAGAGGGAAATAAAGGAATATTACCAGGAGGCTGAAGATGGTGAAACTGGGGAGCAATCTTCAGGACAAAGGGGCCAAAGCTGTGAGTATTGAGGATGGCTTCCAAAATGTGCCCCTCATCACTCCTCTGGATGTTGGCAGCCTGCAGAGCCAAGACCCTGAAAAGGTGAGACGCATCCCACCAACTCTGCAGGTTTCATCTCTGTTTGTGTGCCAGACACTGATGGCTCTACTCAATGGCGTATCTATCAGTAAGCAGAGACTGCAGTTGCTTAGGGGCCCCTGACCTCTTAGGGGCCCCGTCACTGACACCTGGGTGGCCCCCTACGCAATTGTGAACTAGGACATCTCTTTGCAGATGTAATGGTGCGAAAAATTAATGTTAAACCCACCTAATACTAAGCTGACTGACCAGACCTTATTTATACCCCAACACATGGCAGATTTCAACAGGATGGTGAGCCGTTTAAACACGACACCAATAGCAAAGCAGACAGTGCTACTTTTAATTACTTTGTTAATAACTGTGTGTATTTCATTAGATGGTTGGTAAAAAAAACACACACATAAAATGTTTTAAACCGCAATAAAGGATACGTGTTGTACTTTGTATTGCTAAGGGCCTATTGTTGTGTCGTTACGCCATTGGCTCTACTAACTAAATGCTTAGGAGCCTTAGACAGGATTAAAATGCCCATTTTACAAAAGCAGTATGGAGGACCAACTCTGCCATATTTAAAAATAAATACATAAATAAATAAATGCTCAATAAACAAATAAGTATACAATTAATTGCCCCGAAAGATAAAATAAACAAATAAATGTAGGTAGAAATGAGGTTATACAGTGAGACATAAATGTATGAATCTCTTTTAATTTGCTTCTTTATTTATTCGCCTTTGAAAAAGTTACCTTATTTATTTAGTGTCCAATTATAATCTTCAACCTTATTTATTTACTTTTTTTAAAGTATTTATTTATGTGCATAATGTGATATTTTTGTCTCTTTTATTCTTCCTTTGTATTTTTTTTACCCTATTTATTTCTGCCTGTTGTTTTTTTTTATTTCTGTATGCTTTTTGCCTCATTATGCAAATGAGGAGGGGTGTGTCTTAGAGAGTTAACTTCTGCCCATTGGTTAACGGCCCATCGTCTTAACTCACAGAGTATTAAGTTAAAAGTACTCTTTTCTGTTGCTGTTGTTCAATAAAAGTACGTTTTAAAATCATTTGAGGCGAGAACATTATACTTTTAAGCATCCATATATGGCCCATTTACCGATTTTATGCATAATTTTTTTTTTAAATGTCCCAAAGTTGACATTCTAGTGAATTGAGAAAAGGCCACTGACTTCAGACTCTCCTCTCTTCTCCTACATTCTCAACCGATGCAGTAAAATGCTAACCAACCAATGGGCAGAAGTTAACTCTCTAAGACACTCCCCTCCTCATTTACATAATGAGGCAGAAATGCTTACAGAAATGTAAGAACAACAGGCAGAAATAAATAGGGTAAAAAAAAACAAAGGAAGAATAAAACAGATTAACCACAATATTATAATATGCACATAAATAAATACTTAAATAAGTAATAAATAAATAAATTTGAAGACTATAACGGACGATAAATAAATGAGGTAATTATTACGAAGGCGAATAAATAAAGAAGCTAATTATAAGAGATTCATACATTTATGTTTCACATAATTTCTACCTACATTTATTTGTTAATGGTACTTTTGGGGGGCAATTAATTGTATATTTATTTCTTGAGCATTTATTTATTTCTGTATTTATTTTTAAATATAGCAGAGTTGGTCCTCCATAAAGCAGCAGCTGTAAAGAAATAAAGCTGAAATGTAATGTCAGCACACAGATATTGTGAGCATGCTGTACTAGATCCTTCATAGTATTAAGTCAAAATAATGATAAAGAAATATTAAGATTATAATCAGTTTTTAATCTATATGTGTTTTTTTTAAATCAGTTTTCATGTTGTTGGTTGCTAAATAATAGTTCTTCGTAGCATTCAACAAAGAGGCCAACACTCATTTAGAGTCGTTAGGAAATCATTGTGCAATTTTGGTATCAGAACGACTGGAAACTAATGTTTGTAATATAAATGAATTATTTAACCAAAGATTAAACAATATTTGATTGAAAATAAAGTTTATTTGTTAAACAGGCTAAAAAATAATGCATCTGGCAAGCTGGGCGTACCTGTGGTACACAAGTCTTTGTGAAGGCTTAGTGCCGCCAACAGAGAAATTAAATCTCTAAGGATGACTGCAAGTTACACACATAAGGGGAAAAATGATCGAAAATTGTACTGTATTCTTGTTTATAGCAGAGATGCTAAAGTTTTTTTTATTTTCTTGTTATACATCTATTTTTGATTTTCTTTACCATCTGACATTCAAATGGAGGACATAGAAAACATAAAACTGTTCTTCAGGTTCTTCCATAGAGGAATTGGTTCTTGATGTTCGTCATTAGCGTGACAAAAAAAAGATCAATAGTTAATTCTCTTTTAGACATTTTAGTGATCAGCTAGGCAAACACGTTTCTCCAACCCAACATTTTGTTAATTAACTTTAAAATCTACTGGTAAAAAGATTAAAATTTAAAAGAATAAATACCATTATAAAGTTCCATGTTCTGAATGATAAACAAAATGCAAATTAATTTATCTCACAGTGGAGAAATGTAAAGGTGCATGGACACATAGAAGAGGTGTAAATATTAATCGTTTTGTGTTGATGGATTGATCCAACAGCCGACGATCCGATGCATCGTCACGTCCGCAAGAGTATCGATTTGTTTTTGTTTTTTTCCTCCTGTCTATTTTTATCCATTTGCTCCTGGACGTAACTCTGACTCCCGTGCTGCGGTGGCGCTAAACCTGTTTCGCCCTCCTACCTCGCTTCCTTTAGCCGCTTGCACGCACACACGCGCATAAACACTGAGGCATTATTATTTCTCAGTGAATGAGGTCTTCATAGGCCTAGGTAGAGTACAACTTTGCTACTTCTGTTAATGGCTGTTTTTTACCATATAAAATGCATAACAATATTACAGCTTTCATTGATTTACTTCAAATTTTGAAACATTTTCTAGCCTGTAAGGTAAAAAAAAATAAATTAACCAATTAATAGAATCGAATCGTATCGTGGTCTATTCTTGAGTATCGAAAATAATCCATTCGTCGGGTCAGGAAATTGATACTGAGTCGAATGATGGTTGTGATTTATACCCCTAACTGTCAGTAAGAGCATTGTACCTTGTTATTGCACGGGGTATTTATACTTATTTATATATAGTTATTGCACATGGTATTTATATATATATATATATAGTTATTGCACAGGGTATCAAATGGTAAATTGCACATTATACATTGCACAAGTTATAAATATAAATGAATCTCTTTTTATGTATTCATTAATAAAAAAGGCCTTAGTATTGAGATTTTCATCTATGCCTAGGTTAACCTGTGAATATACAAACACGTCTCACATCTAGAACAGAAGAAAATAATCTGTTTTTATGATTTGCTGTTTAAAAAGTAAAAATAGAAACTGGTACTTATTGTAGATATGGTTTGTGTTTATTAACTGTAACTGTTATTCATTTTTCTGTTTCTGATGTACAGTATATTTTAGAAATGTTGGTCTTTTCTAACCCTGTTGGCCCAATATTGGGCCGATGTTAGAAATGGGAGGGGGGATTGGTCATGTGATAGTGATTGTGGGTTCAGGATTGTTGGTGTTTACCTGAAGCAGAGTAGTGATGTCTGCAGTTTGATGGTGTCCAAAGGGTAGAAAAAAATATGATATATGGTATCAGTAATTATTGGGTATTGGCCCAGATTTTCATATCAGTGCATTTACAATCTAGAAATGTATTTACATATGCCTCTCATCATAATATTTTTTTATATAAAATGAAAAAAAATCCTTAATCCTGGAGCGGAAATCCCATCTTTTTATCCACTGTCAGTTCTCCCATACCTATGATCAATAAGGCCTTTAATAACTTTGCAGAACTTCCAGCTGTATCCACCATGTTTGTTATAAAAATTAAGCACTGATGCAGCTAACTGGACAAAAGCATAGCAAACTTATGCAGCAAGCACACAAAAACAAAACAGACAAATTAGGATAAATTACATCTGACAAAAAATATTGTTGATTATTATAAGCCCATATTATCAATCATGTTGCAGTATCCCTACCTTTTAGTCTTATTTAATTTCTAATTACCTTAAAGAGAACTACAGTACACTGTGTGCATGCTGTTATTAATCAGTTCATATTGCTAAAAAAATGAATTTGCTTTGGTTTGATGCATTTAATTAAAATATTTTCCATGATATGACCAAGCTCAATGAAAAAAATAAGGAGAGAGATAAAAGACATTAAATATTGTCAATAAAATCAAGGTTATCGTTGCTGGAGTGGCTGGTGGGTTTAGTTAGAAGCGGACCTTCTATTCTGCATGGGACCTCTAACCACTTAATCTGACCCTATTTCTGTGTTTGTCAGAAGAGCTTTGCTGGATGCACATCTGTCTGTCTCTTTCTGAAGCCATTTAAGTCGATGTTGTTGAACCATACCATCCTTCCTTAACCCCCTCCCCATCTAGAATAACCCCCTCCTCTAAAGCACACACACAGACACACATGCGACTGCAATGTTTGATTCATTCACACATTCATTCATCTCAGCTGTCTCGCTGCCGTGTCCTTTGTTTTCCAGCTGAGATTATGAGACAGATTTGGTGCCAGACAGGCTGTCATTTATCATCCTGACATCCCCTAGTAGCTCCGCTGCCGCTCGTTAATCCAGTCACCATGACGGTGGATCAAAGCCGATTGGTGCATCTATCTGCGGGGTTGGGACAGAAAGCTCTGCTGATTGCACATTATGGAAATGAATGGAACAAGGCAATAGGCAAGCTCATTATCACTTCCAGCACATTTGGAGGCTTTATGCATGAAATGCTTTTCAGTGTTTTGGCGTGTTTCCGTGCTGCAATTACATCTTGATTATTTCATTTTTTCCACTTGCTTGGATCTATGTTTCTACTCTTGTTTTAGTCGTCAATTTATTAAAGAACCGTTTTTGCATGCTCCAACATTTTGAAGTTGGAGCATTTTAGGAGTTTA